GGGGGGGGGGGGGGGGGGGGGGGGTAACGAGACTTGCTGTGCCCTTGACAATGGTGACAGAAGAAAACCTCACTTTGGCCTAGGAGAGGTGGAACACAGATTGTGTTGTATCGTAAGCTATGCCCCAGGTGCGGTTTGCATTGATATTTTTCATTTGATGACAGCATACATGTACATGTATGCAAGCAAAGCAAAAAAATCACAACAACAAATTTCGACCCCCCCCCCCTTCCCTCTCGGGAGCCGCCTAAACCTAATCTTACAGAACAGTAAACAGACTTTTAAAGATCATCGTCGGTTTTGGAGGGATGAATCTTTACGTTTTAGCAAATTGTTTAATTTGTAAAATATGATCTAACGCCATCGGAGGGCTTTAAAAGAAAAATAAACAATTGAATTAAAATTTCCCCAAAATTCATCTAGAACTTTGAGTCACTATCATTTATGCTGAAAGATGAAAGTTTTAAATTTGATAATAACGTGATAACGCTGATAAATATTGTGTTGCGTGCGTTGGCTGCCAAGGATACCGGTAATAGAAAGCAATGCCGAACCACGTGCCAATCTTTTCAACACGGACATAAATTTGTCATTTGAAAAGAATTTGCTTGATTAAAATACGCGAGAAACCCGCACAGTGTCCTTAAAATATCCCTAGCTAATCAGAAAATGTACCATGTATATACATAAATCGGTTTTATCTCGTAACATCCAGCGGATAAGATTTGACAGATAAAGTCGACTAGTTTCAGTTGCATCACTGACTATAGCCGGCTATCAATATACCACTCTGTTTCGAATCAGAGTTTTCATCAAAATATCCAGAATGAGCACATCTGAGTAGAAACAACAGAAGCTTGCCAGACTTGATATTATTTCAATATCAAATATACAGTGTTTCAGAGAAGCAGGATGGCGCCCTTATCTGGTCGCTGGCTTTATCTTTATTGCGCCCTGTTATTCCCATTACCCAAAGGTAAGGCGTTTGGTAATAATGTTGAGATTTTTATCAAGGTTTCGTGCTATGGTGGACAGGAAGTAGATATACATCTGTTTGTAAAGAAAAATTTTTAAATGGGTGTTTGGAAAAAGACACCCATCTTTTTCTCAGCTCGATTTTAATGACTTTAATGTTTTTAAGACAAAAACATTCTAATTTTATCGTGAAACCTTATCTGGACGCCGCGAAAGAATGTTCGGATACAACAGATTGACTTGCAACACTAAATAAAATGTAGATAAATTCAAGATGCCTTAAGGACTGAGTGTTGGACAATATGTTCCTCCTGTAACTGTATGGTGGTATAATGATTCGTACTGCCACCTGCATGTACTCAATGTCTCTGTAAAAGTGCTTCTTAATGAAAACGTGAAGAGATTAATACATTTTTATATATTGGAAGATTATTGGAAAAAAATTCATTCATTAAAACCACATTAAAAAGTTTGTAAGAAAACCTAAGTTCCCAATAAGTCAGATTTAATGTGTGTCTTGAAGATCAAGTAACGTTACAAACGAGAAATATTAATTTGTATATGTACTGATTTATTTGTTTCTTTGTTTTTCAGCAGTAATAACAACAAAATTAAGTGCAGAATGTCCAGTTACGACCCCATGTGGAGAGATGAACCACACAGTAGAGGAAGGTAGAATTTCTTCCCCCTGCTATAACCTGGGCAGGTATCCCCCAAATCTGAACTGTTCATATGTCATAGACGTCAGCGGTAGGTAGTCTGTCTCCAAATCTCTGCCTCGATCCCAATCCTGTAAATGAAGCTTTTTCTATCTTCGTTGTCGGGTCCAGGGTAGTAAGAGTGAGGGGGGAGGGGAGGGGTCAGCCGTACCTTTTTCAGAAACACTTTATTCTTAAAACGTTTTGTGATGACTTTTCTCCGTTGCTTGATGGATATAATCTAAATCTCTTCCCAAATCGGAAGGAAAGACATACATTAAAATACTGCCCCCCTTTTGACACCCTTCTGGATGTATGGCAGTGGCACCGAATTGCTTAGAGGAAATTGTTTGAGTCAAGTCTTTTCTAAGGCTCTATTCCCATAGATTTTAGATCGATCTATCCCCGCGGGGAGTCTCACTAGATTACTGTCAGATAATCCGGCTTAAATGTCCGCCCCGCCTACTACAAGCTGTAAGGGGTAATTAACTTTCGTGTCCACTCGGCTGACAGCTATTTAGCGTGAACCCCCAGGGAGTTAGGTCGATCTAAAGTAGATCGATCTAATCTCTGGAAATGGGGTCTAAATTGACCTTTTTTGGTATATAGTTGATTAAAGGACTACAGCACAATTGGAAGATTGCATTAGGGATATGAATCTAGGACTCCTTCCAACTGCAGGCTTTGTCTCATAAATTTCTGTCAAGATTGTTAAAAAAAAAAAAAAAAAAAAAAACATTGGGAGAAAAAAGGACATGGTTTTTATTTGCTGCAAATGGAAAGGCCTAATGTTACCATTATATGGTCAGTTTTTTTAATAAAGAACCTCACGAAGGCTTGTGCTTGGTTTCCAGAAAGAAACGGCTATTCGGCGAGGTATACTATAAAAATGAATTTAGAATTTTTAAAATAGTCGGCAACAAACTTTCAAACTAGATTTTTAAATAAAAATCGGGGCCAGGTATGCAGCAAGGTTGATGCATGTACATGTTCTAGTTATATCCTGCAATACGGGCGGTCAATAATTATAAAATCATAAATATGTATGTTTTTACTAGTATTATGCTAAAACTTCATTTTCATCTTTCTTTTGGTTTGACGTGATTCATTCCCCGTCCGCACTTTCAGGAGCTCTTTCAGTTTCGCTGACTTTTGTCAACACCCGCTTGGAGCCATACAACGGGTCGTGCCCGTATGACTTTGTGGAGATCATCAACAACAACAAAAACAACAGCGGGATGAAGTACTGCGGTGTTGAATCGGAGAATAAAACATTTACTGTATCTTCCCTACCAATAGTCATAAGATTAAAAACGGACGAGTCTTCGTACAGCTCTGGGTTCATGTTAAAATACAAGGCAGAGATGCCAACGACAACGTCGACAACAACAACAACAACAACAACAACAACAACTACTACTACAACTACTACTACTACTTCTACGCCGACAACAACCAAACCAACAACGCCACCAACCACAATTTCTTCAACGACGACACCACTTACAACAAAGGTGCCAACAACAATGCCAGTGCTGGAGGTATCAACCATGAATCCACTTTGTGGTGAGAACTACTTTGTCAACACGTCCGGAACTATCCTGTCACCCGGCTATAGGCAAGGGCAGTACCCGGTAGATCTACGTTGTGTGTATGTGATCAATATTACAGGTAAGCCAGGAACACATGTTGAGAATTTAAAAAAAAAATTTAAAAAGAAAAAAAAAATATCAACAGTATGGTGAATAAGTCACTAACTGAAAGGTCTTTTTTATTTCTCTCTTACATGTCGTTTATTATGTATTAGTATAAAACTAGAATATAGGTTCGATCAAGCTATGCTGGTATGCGTTTGGTGGAGTAGTGCTGTCTGTACATGGCGTGCGATTACGATAAAACTATCTTATCTTGTAATGATACTGGGGATACGTTCGACACACTTGCCGGACTAAGAGGAGTGAAAGGCCATCATGTCAATATTCCAGGTCGTCTCTGTTTATGTATTAGATTAAGAGTTAAGTGATGACGAAAAAAAAACATTGAAATTCTTCCTTAGTTTCTTGTCTCATTTTTTAAACTTTTAATCTGGATCAAAAAAAAAAATTGATATCATATTGATTAAAGACTGTTACAAACCTTTTAACATTGATGCCGCCACTACAGTATACGGACTGTTAATTTGCGAAGGGATTCAGATATTTTAAGACGTTTTATGCCATTAGCACATTCAAATTTGAATTGTAGGTCATAATTTTAATAACTTATTTGTAATTTAATGTCTTTATACCTTAAAGGTATCCTATATATGATTTTCCAGCCAAATCTTATTTTTCTTCCTACTCAAAAATCATCTCGACCCAACTCTATTCAATTGATAATGGCCACCGGCCCATAGCAAATACATCACAAGGTTACAGTTCGACATTTCACATCAGTTTTCTCTAGCAATCAAACCATGATAAATAAATCTAGCAAGGTTGTTCAGAGCATTAGGGTTTTTTTTTGTTTTCATCATAGCAATATAACAATTTGAAGATGTATTGTTAGTATTCAAATTAGGAATGCACCGAGCTCTCAATTCCTCATAACGTGGACAAACTAGTAAAAATGCTTCTCATCTTCAATTTCATAAATATTTTTGTCTAAGCAATATTTACACAACCTATCTATTTTTTGTAAATTTTCATGTCTACCAATTTCTATTGCAAGTCTATGATTTGAAGCCCTGAATCTTGAAAATGCTACTCTGTATTTCTTAATATTTACATCAAATAAATATTTTTCAGGTTCTAACAAACTCTTAAACAAACTCTTAATAACTTATTTGTAATTTAATGTCTTTATACCTTAAAGGTATCCTATATATGATTTTCCCGCCAAATCTTATTTTTCTTCCTACTCAAAAATAATCTCGACCCATTTCTAATAAAAAATATATATGAAATATATATATATATAAAATATATATATATATATATTTAAGAGCGCCATTTAAAAAATGCAGCATCGAAATTATCTACCTCAATTTAAGCAGTTTTAATTATTGTTTTAAAGTTATAAAAAAGAGAAGCTAGCTAGCTTTGTAATATATTTCGACAGAAACGTGACTTTGGAGAATTTCCAAATGCGAATCATATTCCTTTAAACATATTTCTAATAAACGTCTTCATTTTAACAGCTCGTGACAGAAATCAATTTCTGATTTATTTTTGTTTTAGCTGCGTACATTATTATAAGTTATTGGATTCAGCCTTAGACTATTTTTTAAATGGAATATTTTCTCTGAGCCCACATCTTCACTCCCGTTCACCTCCAGCTAAAAATGACCACTCAGGTCCCGTCTTACACCACTACACGTCACTTCCGGCACAATCCTGTCTCCTCAGGGATTCTTTAAGTTACATTGTTTGAAACTGTCGAGTGTATGGCGGCATTGGTCAGATTTAGTGCAGAAAGTTGACATGTCAACTCGTTTTAAACGCGTCTTTAAATAAAATCAATTTTAACAGGAAGAGTGGCATCCTCCCCAATGCGCGTTGTCACAATTGCTTGATCTGTGTTTTTTCATTAGAAGAAAAAAAACATGCTCACAAATCTGCATCACTTGGACATGTTATATTAATATTATTTTGTACGTAAGAAAAACTTGGCCATTTCCGCCGCTCCATTGGTGTCTTGTGCAAGATAAACGGAGTTTAGGTTAGAGCCCCTTTCCCATGTTTCAAAGAAGTAAACTTGTTTCTTCGTTTTGCTATTTAGCAACACAGAAGGTTTACCCAGCAGAATACTCATTATATGCCCGTGCAGCCGATCCGTTATTACGACCCGCCCACGTGACAGGAAGACCAGTCCCAAGATGCATCTGTCCAAAGATTCATCCAGGAAAGCTTGTGCGCTAAAATTAGTCGAACGGCTGTTACCGCCAACCATCTTTGGCCAATCGCCAATAAGGGTCCTTGTTTTGCTAATAAAAGAGTGGAGAGATTTCAGCCCACTTGCTGTTTCCCAATCTTTTCTTTTCAAACAGATGATATCGTACGACGGAAGGTAGCTGCTGAAGTCTTGGTACCCGACAGCAAACGCGGCGTCTGGGACAAGCTCAATGGGCGTGTTTCGGAAATATTTTTTTGCCAAGGTGAAAGTCTGTTTATCCCGCACTGTCATCACTGAGTCTGGATGCGCATCAAACAGTGCAGCCCATTCCTGCATACTGTTACAAATGTTTGGTGCTTCTACGCAAGAGCTGGCGGGAAACATGAGAATCCGGTTATCGGGGAAAGCTCGAAAAACATATTTTATATAATTGAGGTGTCTTCCCGTAGCGGCAAGATATCCACCCCCTTGAATGAAAATAATGAGTTCTTTTCCTCGTCTAACATGATTGAAGTCGCATCGCCTTGACCGTAAACATATGTCTATGGTACTAATGTTGAACCAGGATAAGATATGTCGCTCGCCCCATAGTATAAAATGGTCTCCAATATTTTGAGTGTCAAAGAGATTCACAAGGAGAGCTCGTCTGAACCCAGTTAGGTACTTTTTAAGTATCTGATACTGGCGCCTTTGCATGTCCGCAATAAAGTTCTTATTGGCCGTTATAGTCTCCGCTGCCGATTGATCAGTCAACAAATGGCTTCTTTGCAAGTCAAAATTTTGGTTTGCAACCCAGCGAAAACGAATCCCTTTTTGCAATGAGCATGACATGTTCGTACCAAGAGTTTAAAACCAGGAATGCTAGGCCTACAATCACTGTGAAAAGAAATAGTTTCCTTTTTTGACAGTACGGCATGTTTAGTGTATATATTCCCCGTGATGTCCTATCACAACGATACCGATCAACCTCTGATCTTTTCTCTGTATGGAAACAAAATTAAAAATTTATTTTACTTTATCACAGCTGCATGGTGTATGGGAGTTTAATAATGTCATGCATATGTATGATATAGTACCCCTTTGTTGGTCGAGGAGACGTGTCAGACAATTAAGCTGATTACATTGACTGCACTGAAACCAGAGCCCCTGCGGATTTGGATCGATCCAGCTAGTACGATGGGTTTATCTGAACGCTCCCTTAGACTACTGTACAGGTATCCGTATCTCTACATCGTCGACCGTCTTTTTCGCTTGAATACAAAGTTCAGTTTTACAATATGCATGTTTGAATAATAAAAAGATACCCTTATAACACTAATATATATTTTTGACTGGACATTATTTTAAAACGCGTTAAATGCTGTGCGAATGTTTCTTTGCATAGGTTCCCCTATGCTGTTCCACATATGGTTTGACGAGTTTCACCACTCCAGCAACCCTGCTCAGAATTGTATAGGGTCGGACCAGGTACGGATCCATACACCAGAGAACAACCAGACTTATGGACCGTACTGTAGCACAGAAAACACCAACCCTGACGTCATCGAGGTAGAGCGCCACGTCGCCATTGTGGAACTGGAGACGGACTCCGTCCTTAACAACGGTAGTTTCAGGTGTGGCTTGTGAAATTCATACCTATAACAACCCCGCTGTATTCATGTTGTAGAACTTGCTTGTTATTTTACACGATCCTTTTTTAAAAGTGTCATTAGGACATTTGCCTTTTAAAGAACTTTTAGTGGTTCGCAAATTGATAAATAAAATATCAATAAGACCAATTACATGCAGGTAGGGTAGTTTCAGTGGTCTTTATACATGTAGTTATTATGTATCTTAGGTTAAAGTACAGCGTGAGTGCCCCACCCACCACTTCAAACAGCCCAGACTACACCGCAGAATTGCCAGACGACAAAGGTGACCCTCCGCCCATTCAACAGGTCTCAGAAGATGACCGCTGGCCCACGTGGATGATCATCCTTATCGCCGTGGCCGGAACCTGCCTTGTTGCCATGGTGTTAATCATACTGGCTGTCATCAGAAAGTAAGCACTGAGGCTGACGCGTTGACCTTTCACGTCACGCCAACGTTTTATTTTTTCATGACCATCTGTATGTTAATTGTTAAAATACCTCCCTGTTAAACTTCATACACGGCATTTATGTTACCTGCATGTATATACATGTTCCAAGTACTCAGTCATATTAATTTCAGATTGCGTTGCAGCACAACTGTCACATTTCTAGTGAAAATCCACTTCATTCTGACGGATATTGACCTGTTTACTAGTAACAATGTAAAAAAAAATTGATTTTTGCACGTATTCCATTAAGTCTACCACAAGACCAGAACCAGAACAAGGGGGGGGGGGAGGGGACAGAGACAACCATTGTCGCAAATATGTGACAATTATTGAATAAATCGTCCCAACATTACTGAGGAAGGTCTCGGATTAGGCCGAATATTTGTTTGTAGGCTTTTAGAAAATGGCGTAGTAACACGAGAATATAAGTTGTAACACATACTGCACCCTGTGTTCATTATTATGAGTTTACTTACCCTATTTTTATCCTCCAGAAAGCAACTGGCCGCTGCCGCTCTGAGCGGTATGGTATCTCGTAACAGCGAAGGAAGCGGCAAAGACGAGTGGTGGCTGAACAGGCTCTATAACAACGTCATACCCGATGACGAGGGAATTCACTCTGAATATGAGGAAGATGAACCAATCTATGATAATCAAATATTCAATCGACCATAGTTGGAGGCTTGTTGATTACCAGAAAACGATGGAAGAATGATTTACGAAACTGAATGTCGAAAGTTGGTAATCTACAAGTCGCTGCTCGTTTCTGCAACATTTTTAACAACAAAGCGGGTTAGCCCATCACTTTGTTTTATGACACGTTTATACGAAACCGTCTATGCAGATTTTGTATTTAGTCACATGATGTGAACAGCAGTTTTTTTTTTTTTTTTTTTTTTTTTTTTTTTTTGCAAAAGAAATCGACAGCTTTTATATATCAAACCAAGCATGGAATGTGCTAATAAGTGTCGTTCAAAACGTTTGGCCATTTACTATTTTGATTCTCTTCCCAAGAGAATATATTGATTCCATATCCACTGAAAAATCACTATGGTGTGCTTAGAACAATAGAAAATACACAGGGTTATATATGGTTGTCTGAATATTGCTGCCATTGGCCAGTAGTATACGGAGTTTAGACTAATCAAATGAAAGGACTTGAAGAGTTGAAGATAATTTTCCATTAATCCAAAATGGATGTGTTCTTGATCCTCATTACGTGTGTCTAAATCTTTTTGGAAATGGACTTACGTGTAAGTGTGTCAAGTTACAGTTATTTAAAATAATGTACCCATGGGCGTGAATGTTTTGAGTCATCCAGTAAAATTATCATCATAAATAAAGTTCAGACTAATTCTGGAACTTATGTGGTAAAACTCAACGACTAATTGACTAATTGCGGACTCACCCTAAGACCTTGCCCTTAGTGATGACCTACTTGTAGATGGACTGGTCACCCTATTAAATATCATATGGGCTGGTCACCTGGTTTAGTGTCATTTGAACTGGTCACCCCATTACGTGTCATATGTTTGTTGAATTTCATAACGTAAGGTCCAGAATTTGAGTGATATTTATCTCTGAATGGTTCACTGTATTCAAAATAAAGGTTGGCATGTCACAGATACCCGTCTTCATACAGTAAGTTTATATCACGCGATCTTTCGTAACCATTTTTGTATCAAACGCAAGTATACAACTCTAATCAAAGAATCAAGGTGGATGTGATTTTCTGTCTTGAATGTGGTTTTTATTTAGCCCACGAAATGTTTGTGTTTAACACGTGATAAACACCCAAGACGCAAATACAGTGGCATCACTCATAATTTTATCTATATTGTCATAACGGTGGACCTTATCGGGACATATTTATATAGAAATGATATCACCTCAAATGTTAATTAAAACGTTATCTATGAGGTCATTCGGACTTATTGACCTGACTACAAATACTCTAATGTATGAAGTAGCATACAACAATTTATGATAAGATAGGGGCTACTGTGCTCCCCGAAAGTTCACGAGTTCAGATGTGCTTATTGGGATTTTTGACCACCAAGGTTGCAGTGTAATATGGAGGGAAGTTTGGGGGGGGGGGGGGGGGCGGGGGGGGGGGGGGAAAAA